TGAAAATTTCAGTGAGACATTATTTTGAAAATTTTTATTTTTTTGCACACTATCTTTATTTTCAAAGTTCCCTAATAATTCAAAATCTCTACTATTCAATTAAATCTAATTCAACTTAATTTCACTTCACTTCTCTTATCTTTACTTAACTATCTAAGAAAATCTTATTTGTTATATTTTATTGATTTTAAAATTGATATTTCAAAGGTTATATAGTTACATTGTAGCGATTCAGGAATTAATTAATCCCAAGATTGATTTAAATATGTGTTTATATAATTTTAACTTGTAAAAAAAATATGTAACATACATAGTATCATTACTTATCACACATATATTACAGAATCATAATCAATAACGTTATCTTAAATGTAACGTCTAAATCCAAACATATTTGCAAATTTTCATAGTGAATGGAATATTTACTTGTTATTCGCGGAAGTTTTGTATCATTTTTCTTCAATTCAGCATTATGAGCATACGCGTAATACGAATTAAATTGAAATTTATAGCACATCATTCTTATAGTAAAAATATTATGGAAGAATATAATATTAAATTTGGCTGCGTTACTATTAAAAAATATTTTTTTGCTTGCTCGTTTTGTTAAAGGACATATTCTAGAGTGGAGGCAAGAATTTTAGGTCATTTTTAAATCATCTTAAAAAATGGCAATACATTTTTTTACTATTATTATTTTATAGTTCATTTATCATATTTAAAAGAGAACAGAAAAAATAGTTTTGTAAAATGTTAATAATTTTAAAAATTGGCACTTGTTCAGTTGTTGAAGTAGGGGATCACAAAAAATTAGCACTTAGTATATACTAGGGATAAGTTAAAAAAAAATTGATAAAATGGCGTCTAGTAGATACCAGAGAAGAGTCTAAAAGAAAACATTCTCTGAAAATTTCAAGTAAATCGGCCCCGTGAAATAGTGTACATCGTATTGGAAAAGACAGTTTTGACGACAGTTTTTATGTTTTGCAAAAGTAAGAATTTTTTTTTTTTATTCATAGTATATAACAATCAGAGTTATTTACGGACCCTATGAGTAATATGGCTAAATTACACATAATAATAATAAATAATAATAATAATAATAATAATAATAATAATAATAATCACATAAAGAAATAAAAATAATAATATCAATAGTAATAATAATGAATAAATAAATAAAAATGAATTATAAATCAAGAAAAATAAATAAATAAAAAATAAAAGAAAAAAAAAACAAATTGCACTAAATGCTCCAAAAAGCAATTGACTATCTATTACAATTGTAAGGAAATTGAAGAGGATTATCATGGTCAAATAGCTGTATCTTCGAAAATAATTTAAATTAAAAAAAAATCTCTCGTACACTTATTTTTGAATAGTTAAGCTTTCAAAATATATTAGACAAAAAAAAAACATTTTTGGAATTTCTACACTAGAATGCACTCTCAAGCTAAGAAACAAAAATATAAATATTCAATTATATATTTTAATCCGACAGAACGAGAAGGATGAACATTGAGTGATAATGTTTTAAATATTATAATATCATTAAATTTAGAGTTTTTGCTGAAGCTGCTTTTTACGCATGAATTTAAAATTGCGGTCAATTTACTGATAAATATATAGCTTTGATTTGCAATTTAACACATGTATGTAAATTGATAAAGTTATATCAAACAAAATTTAAACTTGTGTGCATTATTTTTTGTACGTGTCAAAAGTCATCGGACAAAATAATCTTTTTTTATAATTAAGATTCAAATATCAATATATGAAAATTTGAAATTGAGAGCCTAAATTTCGAGTATATAAAATTATTCAATTACTATTAAATAATCAACAATATTGTATCAAGAAGGTGTATTGTACATTTAACGTGTGACGCTTCCTATTTTTGTATTAGTCTTGCGGCGGAATAAGCCTGATTAGATCCTCTAAAAATAGTTAGAGCGTTTACGGATTTAATGTATACAACAGTATTTCTAAGGTCGTTATCCTACGCACGTTTTTTATATTAGCAACCAAAATTCTTTAATTTGATATATATTCTTTAATTGAACATAGCTTACGCAACATCATTTATTTTTTATAAAGCAATTGATTTTTATACGAGCTTTACTACATTAAAAAAAATAGTTCTAATCAGTATTTATTCATTTATTTATTCATATCAAGCCGTAATCAATAATAATAGATATTATTTCAGGCTCTTGTCATGCTTATTCATAATTAATATTAAAATGATAGTAATTTTATAATAATCATAGTAGCTGCACGAATTTCGCTTCTGAAAAAAAGAGCTGAAAAAAAGCATTCGAACATTAAATATAATGTTCATTCATTATCATGGCTTATAGATTGTTTTTCTTATTGCTATTTAATTATTGTATCTTTGGCAACATCCCTCGTTTCAAATAAATATTTAAAATTGAGTTTCAATAAGAATAAAATGAAATGAAAATATATGTTGTGAAGTAAATCTTTTCAGTCTTAACCTTTTAGTTTTCACTATGAGCAAATAAACCGCCCAAGTACACAAAATATTTTAAGATTTTCCAATCCCTATCGATAAAAATGTATTAAAAATTATACTTCTAACAAACTAAAAACCACAATAACAAATTAGAATCCTCAAAAAATTAATTCAGAGTGTTAAATAATGAAGCAACATGTGTCACACTGTATGTAGTCTATAGAACATCGATCGAAATTGTTTCCATTTTTTGTTCGTTATTTTGGCTAATATTTACAAAAAATTAAATAATATAGAAGAAATTATTTTAGCATTACTGAAAATGCTCCTAAATTTGTAGCTAATGGAGTGGTTCACGCACCTAAACAAATTTTTGCAATGTTATGATCGGCACTATGAAAATAAAAACAACTAATATAATTGCGTCAATGAGTTAGCGTGTGTTATACTAATAATTTATAAATAAAAAACATTTATAAATTATTCAATATAATATTCGTGACATAATATCGATCGTGACCATTGAATAATATTACAAGATAAGTTCTCTAATTGTATATTGAGCTGTTAAAAAGCTTTAAATCAAGCATTGTATTTTATATCCATATATTTATTTACATGCTTGGTAACAATGTAGAGGTGTTCCAAAATATTATCGTGATGGCAAGAATGTTAAACAAATTTTGAACATTGCACATTTTTTTCGCGAAGGCTTACATAAATCGTATCGATATTTTTCAGGAAAATACTTATAAACAAAAGAATACATCTTTATAAATAACAATTCAAAGTCAACAAAAATTATATAATATTTCATAAAATTCAAATTAGCACGGCTAGTTAACTCATACAGCACTTGTATAAACACATATGTTTGGCACATGCTGATAATATTATTTAAACAAATGTACGTTATATTTATCAGATGTAGCAAAATTGTGTTTTTACTCTATTTTTAATGCTAATTCTAAAAAGTTTGAATATTTATTATTTTCGACGTGAATTAGAATAAAATCAAGGTGACAAACAAATGCTTAGTAATTATATTGAAAAAGTATTATTATTTGACAAATTATTGACTACAGAATAAAGTAATCGTTTGAATTATATTCTTGTTTTTATCGTTAGTCTTTAATAATTTATTTTATGCAGTAATGGCTTAATTATAAACCAAATTTTTATACATTTGATAACACGAAAATATCCTTCATCCTTCATAGCATTTCACCATTTTGTCTATGCAAGATAGTTTTTTTTTTGTTATAATTTATTTTTGTAAATCAAGACTTATAATGTCTTATTTACAAAATTGATAGGTGCAAAAAATACAATCAATTTGTACGCTAATACAGTAGGATTTGTATGCTGGATTAATTTATTGTTGAAAAATGAACTTCTAATTTTGATCATTTCGTTGACTGTAGAGATTTTCAAATCTTTATGTAGGCAAAAGTTCGAAATATACCGAGGCGCATTAGTTGATACGCAGAATTTTGTTCTGGCACCTTTGAGAATGATGTTTATGTTTGATTTACAAGAGCAACCCCATAGGTCGATTCCATAAGTCCAAATGGGCACTATGATAGTTTTGTACAAAAGTACCTTGTTATCGAGAGAGATTTTAGATTTCCTCCCAAAAAGCCAGTAAAAATCTTTTATTTACAGTTGGATTTGTTTTTTTTATTTTCAATGTGCGCTCCATGTCAATTTCGAATGAGCATTCCTAAATATTTGACAGTGAGGCATAATGGAATTATTGAATTGTTTATGGTGATAGGTGGACTGTTGTGGTGTTTTAGTGAAACAATTATGTGCTGAAAATGTTGAAACAAATTATGTCCAGAAAAGATTTTGTTTTGGCACATTTTTTATTGGTACAATAAAAAATAAATAAATAATAGATTATGTTGCTCTATCTAGCATTTTACTAAATTTTACTATATTTATAGTAATTTTCTTTCTGTGGGATCGTTCAAGTATTACGTAAGCAGATATATTACAATTATTAACCCCCCCCCATCCCCCTTGTCAGCAAAAGTAAGCAAAGCTCTTACCCCCTACCCCCATGCTTACGTAAACATTTTGCAATTAATGTAAAACAATAAAAATATTACCTATGACGTTATCATCATCCAGACTGCCCTGCCCTCCATGTCAACCCAAAATAAGCAAATCAACAACTCCTCCGCCCCCCTATAGTGCTTACGTAATACTTGAACGGCCCCCTACTTTTAACTTAATATTTAATTGTATTTTTTGATTTTATTGTTGTAAAACGTTGGTAGTAATTAACTTTACATAATAACCATAGATAAACAAATAATAACATTGTAGCCATTGTAGCCGCATCATAATCGAAAATGTTGTGCTTTTTGCCAATGTGACCCCTGTCCTTTGAATCTAGCGCGTTCAATGATTTTCAACGTTCCGCCGTATGTAGCGCGCGTGACTGTGTACATCGCACGCGAGTCATATACCCATGCATTCGGTTCTACACGCATCTATGCTCTGTTCACTGAAAAAACCGGCTTCGTGTAGTGCAATGCTTGAAAAATACTAATATTTTTCAGGAATATCATCATAATTTTGTGTTAACAATTCAGTGTTAATTTAACAAAGTATTTTTGTTTGTTTTACTTGTAAAAATCTTGTGGTTTATGTTGTAAATATCGCGAAGTAAATTTGCCGTGTGTTTCACCACGTGGTAAATTCCAATGCCTCAGCAATATGGAGTCGTAAATGAATTGGTATGATTTTTATTTGTTTTTCTTATTTGTTGGTAATTTTTTTGTTTCGCTTCTCGAAGTCAGCTGTTACGAGATTTTTGTACAATGTTTTATTGATATCTTAATAAGTATTTATTGTATTTTCAAAACAAGTTTTTAAGGTTATGGTTCGATGAAAAATTGATGACATGGGCATTTTAGTGTTTTGAACGTAATGTTTTGTGTTCTCTGCAAAATAATTACGGGTGAAACACATGTTGCTTGTAGATGAGAGAATTTGGAATTTGTTTTAATTCATGGATGTTATAACATATGCTCAGTATATATTGCATATGTTTATTACTAAACGTGTTATGTCGCCATCAGGGTCATTTGAATGAATTAGTTCTTTCCTCTAATATTGCGTATTCGATTATACCTTATGAAATCTGAACTATTAAATATCATCAGGCATATTATATATCCGTGGCCGTTTTTGCTGACACCGGGCATAGATATTTTTGTGCGCAATTGCTACAACATAGTACTTAGATTACGTTCATGTATAAAATGTTTTATAGCTGTACATTTTGTTTATATGTGAGTGCTTGTAATCATAATAGTTGCGCAATCACGTAGCAATATCGCAACTAATAGAATAATGTTAGAATCAAATAATAAAATGGTATAAATAATTATTATTTATAAAATTCACCATTCTTTTGCACAAGCTGTATATAATACTTATGCATATTAATGTTGATATGCTAATAATCATTTAATTAGATAAAGATTGGCTTAGGCATACATCACCTTTTATATTATTAAAAATGTATATTTATTAAGTTATTTGTTGAAATTAGTATAATATTCTTTCTCATTATTCATGATATTAAATTATAATTCCAAAACTGATCTATTTCAAATGATTCGTATACAATATTCTATGAATTTTTGATGCTGGTAAATTTACTTTGATTTCAATATGTTTCAATTTTACAAACCAAAAGTAACATTCAATATATATACATACATGTATATATATATATATATATATATATATATATATATATAATACTAATTTGCTACTCATGGTTGTATCTTGTAATTCACATAACTCGTATTACGAATTACTGTTCCTTTCATACATAATTTGAACACTTGCAAGTTAACCTATAACCGTCTGAAAATGAATGTGTGTTTTAATTAATAATAACATGCTTTCTCATTATTCATTATATTAAATTATAATTCCAAAACTGATCTATTTCAAATGATTAGTATACAATATTCTATGGATTTTTGATGCTGGTAAATTTACTTTGATTTCAATATGTTTCAATTTTACAAACCAAAAGTAACATTCAATATATATATATATATATATATATATATATATATACAAAAACACACACACATACACATATATATATATATATATATATATACATATTTGTTACTTATGGTTGTTTCTTGCAATTCACATAACTCGTATTACGAATTACTATTCCTTTCATACATAATTCTAACACTTGCAAGTTTTGCTATGACCCTCTGAGTATGAATGTTTTAATTAGCATTAGTAATAATTTTTGTGCTAATTTAGAATGATTAATGAATACAGTTCCTATATATTATTATAAAATATATGACTAGTTTATTTTCATTCTCAAGTACTTCTTAAAAAACATTTAGTAGAAAAAACAAGTTTAACACATAATTATTATGCTATTGTTGAAAACGTAGAGCAGTTTTATAATTTATTAAGTATAGTATTTACCTTTACAGCATAATTGATCAGTCATAATCATGTAATTTTTATTGTTCTTTACAGCGACACCATAGGTCTCAATTACTATGTCTGCAGTGAGATCCATAATACTATTGGGATTGCCAGGCTTGGCTATTGTTCTGGGTATTTTGTGGTACAAGAAGAGAAACCCACATCTTTCAGATCCAGGTGGATCAAAGAAGAAACTTGACAAAGAAGTAGTTGAAAGCGTTGCTGAAAAATCATTCGAAAGCGATAAATCTAAACAACCAGAGGTTATCATTGAGGAAAACTTAGGTAAAACTGAAAAACCAGAATTGAATAAGTCTTTGCCTATAGATATACCTGTTGGATCTCCAGTTGAATTGACTGACGACCAACTAGATATTGAGATCCTTAAAATTCAGTCACAAAAATCACAAGAAAAGGATTATTGCTTCAATCGTGTGCCAATAAAATCTGTCAGCTTGGAAAAGAGGGAAACTTTATTTGAAAGACCTGAAGAAATGACCAGAGAAAAAACTAACAAATCTCAAGTAATTGATAAGGCTGAAGAGTCATCAGAAATTAATAAAGCAGTAGTTGAGGCCAAAATTGAAAATACTGACAATCAACCAGAAATTAAGGAAGAAGTGTCAAAAAACATTGAGAAAGAAAATCTTAAGGAAGAAGTAGAAAAAGTTGAATCAGAAATAGTTAAAAGTGAATCATTAAAGCCTGAATTGAATATTCAGAAAGAACAAGCCATGGCTGAAGAGAAAGAAGATATTTTCACCAGCAAAACAATTGAAAGTCTTGAAAAAATCAGTATCTCCGAAAAAATGACTTCTGTGGAATCTGAAGCAAATAAGGTTGTTGAAGATAATGAGAGAAATGACTGGTCAGAGGAATTGTGTGAATTAGAATGCCAAACTGAAAACACTGAAAATATAAATACTGAGAACATCAGAGATTCAGCGTATCACAGCCCTACAGAAAATATGTCTAGCAGTCCTCAACTAAGTGCATATTCTGATAGACACAGCGAGGTAAGATACTACTATGATCTTTTTTACAATGTTTTTATGGAGGTTTCAAAGTGCAATTTTTATGTTTTTTATTTATTGCATATAGTAATTTCATTGTTCTTATTCCAGCATTCTGAGGATAGTGGAAAAGGTTCTTCACCCAGAAGTGAGCTTGCAACAACTTATGAGTTTATTATACCACAGACTTGTGTTGGTCGTTTGATTGGAAGAAATGGTGTTTTTGTCAACAAAATAAAAAGTTTTACAGGAGCAAATATACTTATTAAAAACCATCCAGAAAACTTATCAAAATACAAGATATGTGCCATAGATGGTCTTCAAACAGAAATTGATGCTGCATTGGTTATGATTAGAGAGAAATTCCCTGAAAAGAAATACCCCAATCTTACTTTACAAAGAGTGAGTTTTCCTCCGGCAGTATTAACACCTGAAATATCACCTGAATGCGTTTCGGTAAGAAGATTTATATTTGTAAACTATGTATTGTTTGAAGTTAGATCTTATACTGAGAAAAACATTACTTTGTTGTATCGAATGCTATGTTTAATTTCATATATCATTTTAGTTGCAACTGATCGAGGGTGTAAATAATGACTGTACAGTGAGCTGTGTTTTAAATGGTGGAATAGTATCTTTGCAGCAGCCTTTACATCCATCATTTCCTAGTTTAAGTTTATTACAATGCTGCATGGCACAAACATATTCTCAAAATGATAATCCTAGACTACCTCTACCAGTTAAAGGTAGATATCAATTCCTTTTTTTTTTCTTGTTTTATATATCGAATATACCTATTTACATAAAATGACATATTTTTTAAATTACCTTATTTATTATGGGAATATCCTTTTTGAATTTTGTGTTAACTTGAAAATCCATTTTAATTCTATAATTTAATTTTAGCTGGTATGGTATGTGCTTGTCCATTAGATTGTCATTGGTATAGAGCTCAAATAACTAATGTTTTTGAGCCAAAAAATAATGATTTGAATGAAAAGAGTGAGCAGACTGAACAAACTGAGCAGACTGAAGATTATCAAGTTGAATTAAGATTAGTTGATTATGGAAGCAGAGTTGTAACGGAAGTGTCAAAATTAAGACAAATTCGAGCTGATTTAATGATGCTACCCTTCCAAGCTGTTGATTGTTTATTAGCAAATGTTCAACCAGCAAATGGTGAGTTGGATAAATAGCTTTTTTCATATTTATTATTAATATTAATATGACTCAATAATATATATATATATATATATATATATATATATATATATATGATTTAGTAGTTAATTTATTATAATTTATTGTAATTCATATATATATAAATAATATATATATATAATATATATATATATTATATTGTATTGTATTTTACGTTTTGTAACAATGTATTAAGTTCAGCATCTGTTTTCATGTTTCATGTTTTCTAATGGTATAATTTTGAAATTAATCATTACCACATATTTAAAGAGCTATAATTAATTGTATATCTAGTCATAATATTACTAACGAACATCTTTCTATTACAAGGTTCTTTACAATGGTCAAATGAAGCAGATGAGTGTTTGCGACATTTAACATATGGTCGCTTGTTGCAAGTTCAAATTTATGGTTTTCTTGATGACGTCCCACTTGTGCACTTGTATGTTACACTAGCAACAAATGTAAGTAATATTTTATTTTATCACACCTACTCTCTAATGATATTTAACTCTAATAATTTTATTATATAATTATTTTTTTCAATTTAAGAAGAATATTTGTTAAATTTCATTTGTTCACAATATTGAAGTAGTAATATATTTAATACTTTATACAACTATCAAAATAATAATGTATAGTTTTTGCTATAATGGCTGGAAAAGCTTGATTCATTTCAATAATGAGATTATTTTACTTGCATAATAGTAGCGCTACTTTGAGTTAGTAAAAATTAGTTTGAATATTTCATTTTTTTTGTTACCAAATATTTTATAATTGTGTTTGTTTGATCTGCAGCAAGTGATGTTTGTAAATCAAGAATTAGTTGCTCGTGGCTTTGCAGAATGGGTTGAAACGGATGCATAAGAATTCTGTCGATTTTAAGGAAATTATTTATAACTTATTTTAAAACGCATTGTGTATGCTGAAATATGTTGATTTGTTACACATAAACTTTTATAAGTTTTTAGCTTAGGCATTTTTTGGAATTTTACATTCTCAGAAAATGTCATAATTGCATGTTTGATACATTATATTTCTTATAAAATCAACAAGCACCTACACAAGAAGTCATGTAATTAAAATTGTATATATTTTAATGAATGTATA